GTCCACCGTGACCCATACATTAACGCAAGTTTTGGACTCATTATTACCACCACTACAATCATCACCTTGGTTGTTCGAACCTGATTCATGGATTGGTCGGTAACAAAGAGAAGGGGGAGTGGGGCTTTCAAACCTGGGGAGATGCATGAAGCTTTCATGTAACCCATTGTTGATCCCTACGTTGTTTGCTAAACAGTGTGGGATTATTGTTGCTCAATGAATCATTCTCCATCTTGAAAGTGCTTCCCATGTAATGAAAGATTTGATTTAGAACCCCATCGTCGCCTCCTGAGCAAACCATCTGTTTCTTTAAATCATGACAAGTGGAGGACAAAGTTTTAGGACTGACTAGGGTTTTCATATAATTATTCTTTCTGAATACACGGCAAACCACCCATCCATCTTCACCCACGGATTCCCCAATGGTATTGGAAGCCTGTACCCATCCATATTTTTACCAAATGCTTTATTAAGAATATACTACATCTGTATTATATTATACTATACAACATATACTTTTAGAAAGAAGAATTATGAGGTTAAATTCAAAATTGGCCTCGATAAAAGTTCTCGCATCTCTCATCTTCCCTAGATTGTGAGTTCAAAATCCATTACAAGCGAAAATTTCCCTCCCCCTCCCCCAGGTAGAAATTATTAAAAAATTATAACTTAAATTTGACTTGTTTAATGAACAACTAGTTTGTCTAGTAGGGTGAGTTATTAGATCCTTTAAATATGGACAATAGCCTCAATTTTGACATTTATGAATGGAGCAAATTGAGTTGGGAGGATTATTCCTTATTAAGCCTTTACAATATCCAATTTGAATGAATCAAGTAATAGATAGTATATAGGTGGTTATACCAAAGAAATTGACATGTTTAAAAATATTTTTAAAGCTAAATCTGCGGGCTAAACATATAGAAGCCTTGATTAGAAAGATACTTAAAGGATTCAAGAGAGAGATAATTTACAATTGTATAAAAGGGTCAATTCAAAATTTGATTAATAAGTTGAGGACATCTAGTGCCATTAACTCTATAGATTAAAAAGGAAAGAGTGAAAGAGGATTGCTTACATTAGAGTCATGGGAAGTGTTATCGTCAAGCCTATACTCATGCATGATCCAGTCAGATTTTTGACCGTGTGGAGCTCTTCCTTTATAAAAAAACCAATGCCTTCCTCAACCCAATTCTTCTAAAGCCACTATATATGATCTTATCACGGCCAGTTGCTTTCCAGAATCCGGAAGCCGTCGCACGATTGGTCCGGGATCCGGTGGGGTATTTCAGATCCTCCTATTCTACACTTGTCTGTATTTCCACAAATTCAAACCAGAATTCAATCAAAAGAAAAAGAAAAGTTCTGGGGTTTGGTTAAATTGTTAGTACCATGAATATCCCATGACTCAAGCTTGTTGAGATCAACTTCCTGGATAACATCAAGGTCTATGTTTTCATAAGAGATTTTCCTTCTGAGGTAATAGTGAAGAAGCTCTTCTTCTATAGGATGAAACCTAAAGCCAGGAGGGACCTGAGACAGACCATTTATGGATAGATTCATGCCTTCTCACATTTGCAAATCTCTTCGAAGCTGGGCTTTCGTTGCAGTCATGCAGTCATGATAAGTTATAATGGTGGTAGGGATGAAGAAAGTTTTGGTATCACGGCCATTGATGTGCGCTACTGTGAGGTTTTATGCCTTTGAAAAGACCCTACCACCTAAAAACTAAACCACCATACGTTGAAGTTTACATGCAACAATGAAATAATACAAAATAAACAATTACTAATATTTAATACACGGTCACCGTTAAAGTTGTGCATAATCAATTAATGAAATAAATAAATATAAGTTTTTAATTGACTAAACAAAAAATATTAGTTGAACTAAAATAAACTTAAATAATTTTACGGATAAAATACACAAATAGTCCCTCGACTATAGGATAATACTTTCTTAAATCCCTTGACCATTAAAAGTTACGAAATGATCCTCCGACTATAATATGTTGCTTTGTTGAGTCTCTCGACTATTATAAGATACAAAATGGTCATGCAACTATTCATATGTTTCAAACTCATCCTTTTCCGTTAAAAAATTGACGGCAATCTCATCTTAACGTTAACATGCTAACTGAGATATAATAAAATTTGATCTCATAATCTCAAACAATTATCATATCTCAGTCAGCATGTTAACGTCTAGCTCAGACTATCTTTAATTTTTTAACGGAAAAGGACGCGTTTGGAACATAATGAATAGTCAGGTGATCATTTTGTAACTTTTAATAGTTGAGGGACTCAACAAATCAACACTCTATAATTGAGGGATCATTTTGTAACTTTTAATAGTCATGGGACATAACAAAGCAATATCCTACAGCCGAGGGACCATTAATGTACTTTACCCTAATTTTATTTAGGATTAAATAATTTCTTTTGTTGAACTAGTTTGGAGTGATTATAAAGTATTATTTGATCAGATATTTTTTTAGTTATTGACAATGCACACACCTTGTTGATGTAATTTCTCGAACCCAAGATCTCTAGAGAGAGAACAAATCTCTTTTACTACTGAGATCGCTTAATGAGTTCGATTAAATAATAAAAAAAAGATTTTGAATAGTTTGGGGGTAATTACAAGGTAAGATTTATTCATAATCTTTCTTAATCATTGAATAGGCATACACACCTTGCAGACGCAGCTGCTCAAATTCGAAATCTTAAGAGAGAACAACACTTCCTTTAATTAATGAGACCACTCAATAGGTTAAAATATAAAATTTTAGGGTAAAGTACACAAATGTCCCCCGACTACAGAGTGTTGCTTTGTTGAGTATCTGGACTATTAAGAGTTACAAAATGATGTCATGACTATAGAGTAATGCTTTGTTGAGTCTCTTGACTAGTAAAAGTTACAAAATGATCACTTGACCATTCGTATGTTTCAAACTCATCATTTTGCTGTTAAAAAATTGGCAACTCTCTGAGTTGGACGTCAACAGGTTAACATCCAAAAATACAACTCAAATAATTCTGAGATCAAATTTTATTATATCTCAGTCTACATGTTAACATTCAATTCATATGACTGTCAATTTTTAACAGAAAATGACGAGATTGAAACATATGAATAGTCAAGTGACTATTTTGTAATTTATAATAGCAAAGGGACTCAACAAATCAACGCCTTATAATCGGTAGACTATTTTATAACTTTTAAAGTTGAGGGACTCAATAGATCAACACTCTATAGTCAAGGATCATTTGTGTACTTTACCCAAAACTTTAATGTTCACCATGTTAATGAATCGGTTAACTGACTATGTAAGGGTCTCCACTCTCTACGTTCCTTGCTACTTTTGAAATTTTATATCATTTACCAATGCAACTTTCTAAATTAAGATTATTTTTAAAATGTTTAGAAGTTATATACATATTAGATAATGAGTTTCTACTTGAAACATTGCAAACACAAATTATTAATTACAAATAAATCATATAATAATATATCATATTTTTAAAAAATATTATTATATTTATAATCAACTGATTTAACAATATGAAATTTTAATTTTTTACAAATAATTTATTGCTTAATAGTTTATTTTAATTACTTAAAAGTAAATAAAACTTATGATTTATATATTAAAATATTAATAACGAGTACTTATAAAATATATTTTTATTATAATTATATTTGTATTTGTATTTTTATATTTTTATTATAATTTAAATTGATATATTTCATATATAATAATAATTTCTTTTAAATTTATTTATAAAAATATATCTTTTTATATTTTATTTTTAAATTGTTAAAATGATAAATATATCATTTAAATTATTTTATTTCAAATTTTAAATGAGTGATTGTGGTTAAATTGAAGTAATAAAATATTATTTTAAAATTCAAATGTTGAAAAGTATTGATAATATATATTTTTAAAATCACTTTTTAATAGTAATTTCAAATAGTTAAATTTTAAAATACACTTTTAAAAATCACTTTTAAATTTTTTTCTACCACACTTTTAAAAATCACTTTCCAAAATAAATGTCAAACTAGCTCGAAATATTCAAAACAGAAGGGTGAATTTTATAGAAGCAAACCATTAAAATAGAAAAAAAAAACAAATCAATCAGACATTTCAATTAGAACATAATTTTTTAACAAAATTATCTATGGAGTGTTGAACATCGTGGGGAGCTTTTAGTGCGAGTATCTTTGAAAATTTTTCAAAACATTAGAAGTATTCCCCTCCGTACATTTGTTCATCGTAGGATGATTGTTGATTGATATGCGTAAGATTTTATATTAAAAGAATGAATCTATAAAACTATAAGGGAAGATATACTTATAAAATTTAAACTAGTAAAAGTAGATTACTAAATTTTTTTAGGCAGCTCATCTACTAATTAAGTTCATTTATACGTTAATCCGGGTTAACTCTGAGTGTTGACTTGGGGTTCCTCGAGTCATTACATACCCTTACTTGAAAATAATTGAATTACAAGATCTAAATCCAATATCACTTTATATAACTTATACATCACAATACGATCCGAACCTCTCCCCACCCCTTTTTTTATAATAAAAAAAAACTTGTCCAAAATACCATAAATATCCAAATTTACCCTACCAGACTCGCTCAATTCTTTCTGCAAATTAACATTCAAAAGGTAAACTTGTCCAAAGAAACTTTTTTAATCTAAAATATATGAATATGAACTAATTGAATTAACTTTGATTTTTTTATTTTAGAACCAAAAATGTCAAAGAAGCGAGAATGAGGGAATCAATATTATGTCAGGGAACCCACAATTTGGACATTAATTACCATTTCAATTGTAAAGGGACTTGTCTGTAATTCTACATGTCTAACAACAAACTCCTATTACAGCTTTGAGGAAGCATTCCTACCCTTTGACGAACTACATTGATTTGAGAAGCCAACAAATGTTGATGAGACCCCATTTCCAAACTTGGCCACAGTTCTAACACTCGATCAACTCTTGAGTTCGAGCTTCCTGTGACAAAATTTCCAACAGCTGTTCGGTTGTTATCACCAGCTTCACTTTCCAAACTCCAGGGTGGTGGTCGTACCTGGAGAAGACATCAGTATGAGACCTCTTCAGAGTCGGCTGATAATTGCAGGTCATCCTATAAGGAACAACAAGCGAAGCTGGGATGCTGTTCGACCTGACATGATGGTGCTGATGAACTTGCCGTGGTGGTCGACAATTACCTTAAGTAGTGTCTTTGGCGTTAAGTAGATAGTATGATTTACCAGGGAGGAGTTGTTCATGGTGAAAAACAGGTTTCCCGAGGATATCATTGCTTCGGAAAATAGCCTGCCCTTGGAATTCACTTGTAATGCTTCCTGCTGTTATTGTGGACGAAAACTCCATGACTCCGCCGTTTGAAGTTATGACTCTGATCACTTCATTAGCTTCTCCCAACCCTACAATCACACAGTTTCCCATTCTGTTCTACAAGCAATCTTAAAAAACACCCCAAGCCACTATATCTTTATGACCCATTTGTTAACTTTCGATTGTTGGTACCTGAATGTCCTTTGTCACTTAAAATTTATCGAGGAAAATGAGTGAACTTTTGGGAAGGAACAGGGGATAGTGGGAGACCACGGAATCTCCGGGAAGAGCCGTTTTGTCCCTGTAACCTTTTTGTCTTTTTGAACCCATCTAGCAAGTAGCGATTAAAAAGTATAGTTATTTATAAAAAATCTAAATTCAAACAGTTACGTTTGCAAATGGATAAGCATAATCAATGAGTTTGCCTTGTACACAGACAATTTTATGATTTCCCGGAGATGCCAGAAGTAGAAACAATAAAGCATAAGGTCAATCTAAGACATTTGCACATTAACAGTAACCTTAAGAAGCAGTTCATCCAGAAAGTGCAAAGAGCAGTTTAGTTTTGGCACAAACCCTGTCCTGATTAGTGAGCAAACAATGCATCAAAAGCCTATGTATTGCAAGTTGCAAGGCTAAAACAAAAACCTATGCTAACAATGCACCAGTGAACAATATCAGATAAAACTGGCAGCCCAACACCGGATACACCAGTACATCGAGGGGTGTGTGTATGTAACTTAATATATGTATCATATAATAAACTGGTACTAAATTAATTTCTGAACACCAAGATTATTCAGTGCATTGGAAGGCGAGGAGTGCGTGGCCGAACAGGGGTCTTCGATGGGCTTACCCTGATCAAACACAAGAACCAAATGTTATGTAGAAAACGGTAAATATTAAAAAAATGAGAAATCTTTGGAGAGATTATGACAAAAGAAAATTAATCTGACCTTATGGGCAAGGATCCCAGAACCACACCACTACAGTTGAGAGCAGCAATTGCACTTTCAGCCTGCACACAAATAAAAGGATTACAAATTCAAGTACGTTGAAGCAATAAATACTCTGAGAAAAAAGCTACATATCACTTGCAAACTTTGAACTAATTTCAAAACTAGGATTTATGACATCTCTGAAACGTTGATGTAGGTTTACCATCAAAAGAGGTAGACAATCAATAAATAATTCACTATATCGCTCGCCGTCCACCCCTAAACCACTTTAGGTTGTTCCTTTCACAGTAACATACACAAATCATTTGTCAATTCAAAGAATTATTTACCATATCATTTAAGTTACAGTATTTGGCAAATCAGTACAAAATAGTTGCAAACAAAAGATTATGTTATAGGCTAAAATTTTAAAAATAATAATAATAAGACCCCTGAACTAAAATGCTTTACTAAGACAAGCCCTTGTACTTTTTTACACTTAAAATAAGCCATTATCCTTTGATTTGTGTGTACCCAAGTAAGCCCTTATTTTGAAGTGGAAAATTTCTTTATGCCAAGTGTTTATTTAGGTATAAATTATAGGTTAGGGGTTTATTTAAGTAAAATTTCACTTTATCAAAAAGTAAAAGTTCACAAGTTAAAGGCCAACTAATTATAGAAAATGTATGAGGGCCTATTTAAATGAAGTGGTAAAGTATAAGGGCATTTTTATTAGTTTAACCTACGTTATAAAACAAGCATAACAGCAGTTTCTAGGCAATACATACCATACTAGAATAGAATAGCTAAATCCTATTATTTAAGGTTATTTCACTCGGCCTTAATATGTGCAAACTAAACCAAAGTTTTGAATGGCCAATCTTTGCATCATCATTAATATAAGAAACACCAAACCAGGGACAATAGTAATTGATAAGCAAGTTCACGTATAAGAAAGAATGCAGTCTATTAATATTTCAGCTGCAAATGAGACACGATCTGGCCACAAGTTAAAGTGTTAAACAAAAAAGTAGCATATCATTGTACTCTTCTAATGTCTTTATCAAAATAATGTTATGATAAGAGATCCATAATTAGCACTGAAAGTGTTTGGGAGGTCCTAGAAGACATTATCCAAATTATATCAGGATTTGATGAAAGACAAAATTAACCATTTATATAACTGAAAAGGAACATGCATGATTGACAACAATTTACCCGGCTACTTTGAATCACGGCATTGCAAGAAATGGAGCAACACATGTTATATTTACTCACAAGAAAGATTCTATAGGGTCACTGCTACATAAGCAAAATACGATAATATTTACACAAGTTTCCCTAGTAAACAAAAAAATTTGATACACGACTTGGAATGCATATCCAATCGATCTATACTACAAACAAGAAAATTTGCATCTTCCAAAAAATAGCTCATATAGATAAGTTTCAGCTTAACTTTCACACGCTATACTTAAAAGCCAAAAGGAAATGCAATGACGTAATTTTGTTAAAAAGCAAATTTGTTACTCCTTCCGAGATTATCACAAAGTAGGATATTATGCCTTCACATTGGCCTACAACTGATGGGAGCCTGTTTTTATTGTTAAATAGTGTTATCACAAATCTGTTAAATATCGCGGTTCATGGGGCCTTATATTGAAAGACATGCCTCCTCTGATCCAACTGTCTCTTCTCTGTATTGGTTTTCTTTGATTTGAACACACAAAACACAGTATCCTATAGTTACTAGTTAACACAAAAATCATACCCGCTGACTGGCCTAAATCTTTAAGATATAAAAGGAAGTTCATGCAAGCACATATAAAAACACTTATAAGCAAAAATATTTGCTCAGTCATGTTCAAACAATTGCATGAATGAAGAGGAAGAAATGATTACCATTACAAATTCAACAAAAGCAATACGAGTTGAATGGTTATAGTCCCCTAACAACCTTAGGCGATAAACCTACACAAGACAAAATGTCATTCTAAATGCATCCCATACAGGTTTTGATGTAATAAATAGAAGAAACAGCTCCAGATTTAATCCAATAACAAACCTCTCCGCAGACTGTTTCAAAAAAGAGTCTAACATCATCTTGAGTAACCTGAAGGGCATAAAATTGTATTATAAATGAAAATGCTCCTTTATCTGCAATCAGGATGATTTTTCATAATCAACATTCAAAAATGCAAAAACCTTTTCACCTTCTTGTCAATGTTTGTACAGTAGATAGTTCTTGCACACATCTGGCGTTCATCTTCATTCTGAAATTGGAACAACAAATATTTAACACGGAATAGGAGAAAATAATGAAAAATGCATAGAAGACTCCAAATTAACAATGCAACAATGAGCCTCACCCTAGGCAAAAATGTTGGGTTAACAGGTGCAATAGCTGTTTTTGAGGGCAGAACTTTAACTGGGTAGAATCCAAGCATAGTCCCTGCCAGACTCAGAGCTGCTTGTGCACCTTCTGTAAAAGTGTAAATATCACGCTCAGCAGTTAGATTAACAACCCCCTAAACTATGGTTTAAGTAAGCACGGTGCAAAATCACCTTCGTCAGTGAACTCAACAAAGGCAAAACGAAGTACAGAATTAGGATCACCACATATGCGGCAGTCAACCACCTTCACAAAAAAAGTTCATTTAGACGCATTGTTTTGATGAAAACTTTTAAGACAACCAAGGAAAACAATCACCTGTCCACAGTTCACAAATAAACCAGCAAGTTGCTCTTCAGTGACCTACACCTCAACAAGTAAAAAAGTGAATCGAAATCTCAAAGACGATAAAGCATAAATTGCAGAATTGGTTGCAGAATCATAACATAGCTAAAAAAGCTGTATATAAATAATATATATATATATATATATATATATATATATATATATATACCTGTTGATCAATATCAGACACATAAACAGTCCTGCGGATAACCTCTTCCCTTTGGGCCATACTTGTCCTGGTGTTCAGTCGACGTTTCCCTTGACCGAATTGTTTCTTCTGCGAAAGACAATATCAATGAATGAAGCACGTATTAGCAAAGATTGAAAAACATAAAACTTCCCTTATGTAAAATGCACTATCTTCTAACCCCCCAAACAAATCAATTCATTTTTCTTCTCTTCTAAATTTTACCACCAATATGACAAACAATATTCACCTACTAGTAAACAAGGCAATCAATTAAAAAAGAGGGGGCTTTGATGGCATACCCGCCTTCCACCAGCATTGCCGTTACTTGGTATGTTATTGTTTTGCAGAACGGAGTTGTTAATGAAAAGCTCTCCATTAATTCCATGGTTGGCAACTGAATGAGGCACGAACTCCTCAGCCATGGGGTTAAGTTTAGAGAAGAGTTCTTGCAACTCTCTCATGTCCCTCTTGAAGCTATCCCCAACTTCATCCCCGCTACCACCATTGCTCCCCTGAAAATCCCCACCGTTGGATCGAGCATAAGGACCACCGATCTCATTGTACAACCCCTGATCGCTCTGGTGTAAGCTCGGATCGATTTTTGACCGCAAATGGTTTTGCTTTGACTGATCCTGATCGTTCGTTGCTACCGCAGCCGCCGCCGCATCTTGATTCGGAACCTTCTCAACTGCCGCCATAGCCTGATGAGTCTTCCTGAAAAGCTCCCTTTTTTATAAACTAATCAACAAATAGACCTGAAATTTATAAACCCCGACATCAAACAAGAGGAAAAAATCGAATTTTAAATGTTTGGAATATAAAAAAACACCATAGAATTGTTTAGGAAACAAGGTAAAACTACAATAATCTCCAATAATATCGAACAAAAATACAAACCCACCTCGAAATCACTACGGAAAAAACAAAATGAAAATAAATAACAACATAAAACAAAGTAAAATTGTTAGGAGAAGGCAAGGCTTTTCATTTCTTACAGTGTAAGTCGTCTTTCCTTTATTTTCCTTTTTTTCCCCCTTCTATTATTTCTATCACAGTTTCACAGTGATTATCTATATAAATACTGACAAAAAAATATTAAAAATAACTTTTAAAAAAGTTTTGGGTTGTTGGTTAGTTGAAATGTAAAAACTTTCAAAAGATCAGAATAAAATCCCTTTTTTATTTTCCTTCAAACACGTCGATGAATTAACGATGTCATGAACGTCAGATGCATGTACCATACATTGATGGATGCCTTGCCACATCCATCATGCACGGTATTATAACGTGTAACAATATTAGTAGTTAACGATATTAAAATAAAAATATTATTTAATATAAACAAAATACCTAAATTATATTTTTTTATTTATGTGTTTAAATAATTTTAGATCAATGTGAGTACTTAACGTTATTATTTTAAATATTTACATCGTAATGATCATTACAAAATCATTATATAATAAGTATCATATTTTTTTGAATTTTTTTTTTAAAAATAAAAATATTATTTATTTTTTTAAACAATACCCTTCTATCCCACATTGTCTCCTCTGGGGTTGTAAATGAGACAAGACAAATCGTGAGCTACTTGAGATCGACTCGATCAAGGCTCGATAAATACTCGGATCAAATAGAATCGACTCGAGCTCGAACTTGACTCGAGTTCTTAACGAGCCGAAACGAGCTACTCGATATTCGACTCGAAAAGCTCGTGAGCTACTCGGAAAAATGTTATATTATAATTTTAGATTTTTTAAAATTACATTATTAAAAATATATTTAAAATACATTATTGATAATTATTAAATTTTAAAAATATATAAAAAATTCTATAATACAACTACCCTCAAATTTTAATTTTTTTAATTAACCAGCCCAAGTCCAATTGTTACATTGTATATTACTAAAATAAAAATAAAAGTATATTTAATTAAGCACATGTTAAATTACTCGTGTTTGGTTGATTTTTTTCTTTCTTTTTTAACTTTTTACTGCACAAGTACTTGACAACGTAGAAAAATAAAATAAAAAATAAGAAAAACCAGTCAAATAATAGAAAATTTGAAAAAAGGTAAAAAAATTATTTTTGAATAAATATTCTTATATTTATTTTAAATTAATAAAAATTTATTTATCTAATGACAAATATTTAATATATTTCTAATGATAATATTTTTAATAACTAATTTTTTAAATTGTTGTTATATTTTGAGATTTCGGGTTCAAATATCATAAATATCAAGGGTTTGAGCATTTAATATCAAAATATTATATTGTACTTACCTCATAAATCATTACAAAGTCGATTAATTAATGTATTTGTAATGAATCCTAAACCCTAAACCCTAAATCCTAAGCCTTAAATACTAAACACTAAACCCTAAACCCTAAACTCGATTATGTGATAGGAGTTAAGTTATGCACCTGAAGGTAACATATAAATTATGCAAAATGATGTTATGTGACTCTTAAAAAAATTATTCGCATACTTATACATAAACATATCAATATGCAAAATAAATATACACAACTTGTTGATTGAGACATGATTTTATCATATCTTAATGATTACTATCGACACTGTTATTGCTTTCAAGCACTGACTCACCAACATAATATTTCAAGAACTGACTCGACGACATAATGTAAACCGATTAAATAATTTTTTATTCATGCTCATTTTTAGAGTATTTTAGCTTAAAACATATATTTTGGCAAAAAGAACCATATTTTATAGCATTGAAGGTTTGTTGGCTAATCGTTTTCATCAAATGAATTGACACTTTTGTCTCAAAATGAAACATTAGGATAAAAATTTAATTTTTTTTAACTAAATTAACTATTTAGTTAAATGATAAAAATATTTTTTATCACTATACATTTTAATCATCATAAGTCATAGGTGAGATTTGAGCTTAAAATTAATTCAATTCATTAATCAGTTTCGAATTGAAATAACTTTTGACAAATATTATTATTATTATTTAATCATTCATTAATTAAACATTTCAATGTTTGATCATATTTTATCATACCCTAGTCAAAATGTTAATATCAATATCATACAATCACCAATTTTTTAATGAAAAATGATGAGTTTGAATCATATGAATAGTCGAGTGATCATTTTATAACTTTTAATGGTTGAAAGACTCAACAACATAGCATCCTATAGTTGTGGGACTATTTTATAAATTTTAATAGCCATGAGACTATTTATGTACTTTACCCTATTATTTTCATATGATCTTTATTTTTAATGACTTGATAAAAATGAATTTAAAAATGTTATATGGAATTAATAATCAACCGATATGAAGATTAATAAAAATATTAATATATTTAATGTAAAATTAATATATTTAGATGTGAAAAATTAAAAAAATATTATATAAATAATTGATAAAATAATATTCTAATTCTGAACCACGATCGACATACAGTTTTCTTGGATCAAAATTTTCCTTTGTTTAGCAATGAAACTATCTACTATTAATCGGAACTCATCGTTGCTCATCTCATCCAGCGATTTCCTCGACGGTTTAGTAGTTGAAACCATCAGTTCTCTGCCCATCATTGTCATCTCTGATCTTTTGAACTGTCGGCGAGGACGTCGGTTTCCAGATTCCGAGAGCATCGTGTTGCGGAAGACGGCTATCGGATAGAGCAAAATCGCAACTGATAATTTGAGAAAATAAAATTGAAGATAAAAGAGGCACAAAATTTACGTGGAAAACCCCTAAAATATTTAGGGTAAAAACCACGAGCAACGGTAGAAGAATTTCACTATGAGAAAATAGGAATTACAACCTCTCTCGATCTACCAAGGAGAAAACAATGATAATTCTCTCTAGATAAAAAAAGGAGAAAACAACTCTCAAGAAACTCTCTAAAATCTCTCTAGTATTGGAATAAAGCTAGAATGCTTTGGGATAGTTTTGAAGCTAAATAAGCTAGGGTATTTATAGTTGAATCATAAGGACTAATTTGTAAATACCCCAAATTCTAGGGGGCTAAAAGTGTAATTTTACCCTTGCAAATTTTTCCACAATTGCTGGCTACTTTTTGGTGCCATTAATTGTGCACTTTCGGTGCCCCCAAGTTTGACAATTAACTTGGACTTTCAACAATCTCCCACTTGAAGATTTGATTGGAACAATCATATCTTCACACCATTCTTTCTACCTTATACCATCATGTTGCTTACGTTTCTGACAAGCCACAAGAGGATCGACACCAAGTAAATTTATCAGCGTTAATCGCCTTTGTCATGAAATCTGCTATATTGTCTTTGGTATGGATCTTCTGCATATCTACTGTTCCTTCTTCCACCTTTTCATGAATGAAGTGGTACTGAACTCGTATGTGTTTTGTCCTTGAATGAAATGCTGGATTCCTTGCTAGATGCAAGGCGCTTTGACTGTCACAGAAAAGAGAAACATGCTCTTGATTGTGCCCAAGCTCCTCCAATAACATCTTCAACCAAATTGCTTCTTTACTGGCTTGTGTAGCTGCTACATATTCTGCTTCTGTTGTTGACGTAGCCACAACTGACTGCAATTTTGAAACTCAGCTTACAGCTCCACCAGCAATTTTGAACACATATCCTGTAGTAGATTTACTTTTATCCAAATCCCCTGCATAGTCAGAATCTACATACCCATTGATTAGTAAGTTTGATCCTCCGTAACATAATGCAACATTTGAGGTCCCTTTGATGTATCTCAGGATCCTCTTTACTGTATTCCAATGCTCTTTGCCTGGATTCGCCATGTACCGACTAACCACTCCCACTGCTTGTGCAATGTCTGGTCTTGTGCATATCATAGCGAACATTAAACTTCCCACTGCTGATGCATACGGTACTCGAGACATCTCCATCCTCTCTTCTTCACTGCTAGGACTCATACTGGAGGATAATTTGAAGTTAATAGGAAGAGGGGTAGAAATTGGCTTACAAACTTGCATGCTGAATCGTGACAAGATCTTCTTCAAGTAATTCTTTTGTGAAAGCCAAATCTTCCTATTACTTCTGTCTCGGTGAATTTGCATCCCTAGAATCTTGTTTGCTGATCCCAAGTCCTTCATTTCAAATTCCCTAGCTAGTTGTGCCTTCAATTCTTCAATATGATCTTTGTTGGGTCCTGCAACCAACATGTCATCCACATACAACAGCAATATAACAAAATCGTTATCACCAGACCTCTTAAAATAAGCACAAGGGTCTGCATTAAGTCTGTTGTATCCAAGGCACATAATGAAGGAATCAAATCTCTTATACCAACACCTCGGCGCCTGCTTTAGACCGTACAGAGATTTGTTTAACCTGCAAACCAAGTTCTTCTTTTCTTTTTCTTCAAATCCTTCAGGCTGGAGCATGTAAATCTCTTCTTCAAGATTTCCGTGAAGAAAAGCTGTTTTAACATCTAGTTGCTCTAGATGTAAGTTCAATGTAGCACACATTGCCAAAACTACTCGAACTGTTGTTAGTCGAACCACAGGAGAAAATATTTCATTGAAATCAATACCTTCTTTTTGAGCATATCCTTTGACCACCAATCTTGCACGATACCTCTCAACTTGATCGTCACCATTTCGCTTGATTTTGAAGACCCATTTGTTACCAATTGGCTTCCTTCCTTGTGGTAGTGGCACAAGGTCCCATGTATTATTTTTATGAAGGGCTTCGATTTCCTCTTGCATCGCCATCATCCATAGTGAAGCATCTGAGCTGTTTATTGCCTCTTGATATGTTGATGGCTCACCGTCCTCTGTTAAAAGGTAGTATGCAATATTACCTTCTATAACATAATATGAGTGCCAATTGGGACGTCTTCTCACACGATCTGATTGACGAGTTGTTGGAGTTTCAGAACTCTCTGGTTCTTGTTCATCATGTGCTGGTTCTGCTTCAGAAGAATCTCTTTGTTCAAC